TGAAAATCTCGATATTTCAAGCCAGCAAACACATCTCAATAAATCAAACTAGTTTGAAGCATGAGAAAAATAGAGTTCCATCGAGTCTTAACATCAAGAGCAAGCTTCTTGTTATTTGGAATATGTATTTGATGAGCTGCCTCTTCAAATTTTTGCACTCTCTTGAGAGATGTTGTCCAATAAGCAACACTATCATGAATTCTTTCAATACTATCTCCAATCACATTCAAACCATCTTGGACAATTAAGTTGAGAATATGTGCACAACAACGCATATGGAACAACAGACCATGCAATATTAGTGAACCAAATGAAAATTTATCCAACAAAATAGTCACAATTGCATCATTAGTGGTATAATTATCTACAGTCAAAGTGATTAACTTTCTATCAAGGTTCCAATCGAAAAAGCAATCCTTCAAACACTCTACAAGCACTTCTTTGGTATGTGGATAAGACACATATAAAAATCTAAAGATAATAAATAACACATGTTAATAGAAGATCATTAGTACTTTAAAATAAATAACACATCCTAATGAAATATCATTAGTACCTTATAATCCGACTTTGCAATGTCCAATAATTGTCAATAAAGTGTGTGGTGATTGCCATATATCCCTTTCTTTGATTGTTTGATGACCACATGTCTGTAGTGATAACAACTCTACTTTTTGTTTTTTCCAACAATTTCATTGTTTTCTCCTTTTCGGTTTTGTAAATTTGAAGAATATCATTTCTAAGAGTGTTCCGGGATATCATTTTGAACATTGGTTGAAGAGTGTGACAATATTTTTGAAACCCGTGATGCTCAACCATACTAAGAGGATATTCATGCAATATAATCATATTGGCAAGATCCCTCCTCCCCGCCTCTTGAACAAATCACCAATTTTTCATTGTTTTCTCGGTATCCGTCTTTAATTGGTTTGATACCAATAAACATTGCTTCAAATTTTTATATTTTTTCATCAGACAACTTTTAAGATGATCATGCAAGTGGGTAGTTCCATTCTTAGCACCACCAACAAGCAATTTCTTACATTCATTGCACTCAGCCTTTAACTTTCCATCAATTGTTTTCCTCTTGAAATGATTCCACACAATTGATCTATGCTTATCTGTTTCACCAAGAGTCATTGGAGTTGAGTTGGTAGATTGATTTTCATCAATAGAGATTGGAAGTTGGTTGTTTTCACACGGTGCTGCAGAAGTTTGAGGAGTTGACATATTATTTCCCACTTCTTCTCCTTCCATTCCTACTTAATCAACTATATGTAAAAATCAAATAAGTAGAAACCAAAACAAACAATAAACCTCAAAGAAAGCAATGACTCTAGCTTAACGATTATACAATAAAATTATGTCGAAGAAAAAAATGTGTTAAACAAATATTACATTTTGTTTTTTTAAATTGTAATAATATTCAAAAATACTTATAAAAAACTTGCAAATAAAATAAACTAGTTATTTGACACGAAATGTTCATGTTTATTACAATTTTCTTGAAGCAAATTAAGGACTAGCTCATTAGAGTCCATTTTATTCCTTACATGGTTGGCTGGTACTTTCGGGTGAATACAAACTAGGAACCCAATTGTTTTGATATTCAGCGTAAACATCATATCTTTTATCATCAATTGACATGAACATCATATCTACAAGTATTCTTACATTCATTGCACTCAGCTTTTTTGCGCTAACATTCATTGCACTCAGCCTTTAACCAATCAGTATGACAGCGCAAAAAGCACAATTTCACCAGTGTAAATTTTAAAGTTAAATGAATTAGAAGGAATGATCATAACAAAATGATACGTATAAAACTTACTAATGTAAATAACACATTTCTACATAAGTGTATGCAATTTTGTATTTTTCTCGAAAAAATTTCTTTTACTAGATTTGTCAGTGTTTAATAAGTTTCACCGTTTGAAGATAAAGTTACTCCAACACAATATTTCATCAGAAGAACAAGAATGAACCAGACCATTGACTTTTTTTTTGTTTTGTTTGGGGGGAGGCCCAAAAAGACTAGCTGCTAGGAAGATATAACCTGATTAAAGCTTTATAGCTTATCCAAAAGATCTACAAGAATCACATAAACACATTAATTTCTCTTAACAAAATCACAGACTGAAACTTAGACCACAAACTTGACTAAATTTCTTTTTTTTTCCCTTCCCCAATAGCTAACTTGACTCTCTCTTTCATAAATTGGATAAAATAACAAAAAAATAATAACACTCAAACCCCTTTCCCTCAAGAAAAGGGAGGGTTTTTTTTGGTTTAAATAGAATCATATCTTTCCCCAAAACAGAGAAAAATCCCAGAACTTCAACAACTAGATTTCCTACCCATTTTACCAACAAAAAAGAAAAACAAAAATCTTGGGGTGAACATATATATATAGATATAGGTATATATATAATTCAGAAACACATTTGCAGATGAATATGAGCATAGGATGCAAAAAATTGAAGGTAAATAAACTGAGATCAAAGATCTATACCAGAGTCAATGAAAGATCTATAATTGTCCCCCCAAACTAGGAATATGCCGACAAAATAGAATTCAATAAATAAAAAAAAATTTGTATCCTTTTCTTCGCAAAGAATTCGAAAGATCAAACATGAAAAGCAGGGAGAGGAGATTACTTGATAGTAGAGAGAAGATGCTTCTCAGCGGTGATGATGTGATCGGTAGAAGTTCGGATCCAACAAAGAACGGAAGGGGCGGCAGATGAACGATAGTAGAGAGAAGACGGCGAGACGCTTCTCGGCGGATGAACGATCTCTTCTTTATTGTCGGCTTGAGCTTAGAGAGTTAGAGGAAGAGGAGAGAGGCGGGTGGCGCTGTGCTACTGCTAATAGAATGGAGGAAGACTGGAATAGGCGTTAGGTTTATATATATATATATATATTTTTTTAACGGGTATCGGGGACGGGGCGGGGGTAAGGGTAAGTCCATCCCCGCCTTCATCCCCGTACGGGTTTATATGGGTATTTCTGTATACGTTCAATGTCCAATACGTATAGTCCATCCCCGGTTCAAACGAGACAGGTTTGGATGAATACTCGTTTTTCCCCGGTCCACTGCCATCCCTAATTATGATACTTAAAAATGGCACCATTAGACAATGACAATCCTGTCAAGAAGTTGGACCAACACGACGCCATACGACACGTACTACCCAAGGAAAGGAATCCAAGTTGGCCCAGTACAGCTATAAGAAAAATTAGAAATCTAGAAGAGGATCAACATTGCAAGTTTGGGACAGTCGACTAAACTAATCTCCTATATGCACGAGCCACCATCAATAGAAAAGTTCGTCCTAGACCCATTAGGCTCTATCTCGATTTCCTGACCTTCTTTTACACACTCACTAAACTAGCGTCACCAAAACTTGAACTCTTTAAAATCAAGTTTATCTAATATACCAAAGAAAAAGGATTAAAAATGTAAATAACTGATAATACTTTAATAATGACACTCTGTTGGAATAATTAAGAACTTATTCATATTATTATATCAAATCTAGCGATGATAAATAGATTTGTTTTCTTTGGATGCGGCGTACTTTAGAAAAAGGGAGAAGGACAGACAAAAAGTAAAGACAATATTAGAATTAGGGTTTAACTATGGTACCTGAAGGGGGGGGGGGGGGGTAGCACCCTTAATGACAAGTGTATTTACATTAAATGATTCAACGTGAAGTTGATAAGATCAGTCACATTATAAAAATATCATTAGACTCAGTCATCAAACAGAAGCCGAGCTATTCAAAGAGCTTAGGAAAAATAAGAAGAGGTTGGTCCTCATCATGACTGATCTGTTTCAAACAGTAAACGTTGAGCTAAAGAGATACCTATAATTCAAGCATTCTGGTCAAACGAATGAGCATGATCGTAGGCTCGGTAGAAGGAACTATTGGAGAGATCTCAAAAACTTCCTGAATAGAGTATCCAGATTGGAAGAAGGTGTACCACTTTGAACCAAAATCATGGAAACCCTAATAGAGCAAAATTCTATAAAATGCATGAGGAGCCAAGATGAAAGGTACGTTGAACTCTTTTTATCTTCTTGCAATTGACTCAGTTCTATTATTGACTTAAGTATCGGAGTGCTTTCGATCAAAACACTTCGATCTTAGAGAGTTTATTCTTTTTGCAGGAAAGAAAAATTGAGAGATCAAGTTCAAAGCTCACTTTTACCAGAAACATCAATCATTTATTCATGCAGGAGATAATCTCATTTTTTGCCTTGTACCCATTTTTTTTTGATACCATACCTTTATTTTTCATATTTGTAATTTAAAAATATTTATTAAAATAATAAAAATTTGAGGTAGGTATCAAAATGTTTTTTGGGGACCGTAGTCAAGTCCCCCCCGCCATTTTGAGAAGCTTCTTTTTCTTGCTTCTCCGTATACCCATTTAAGGGATGCACAAAAGAAAAGGAGTTATTCTTATTCCTTTTGTGGAAATTGGCTTTTGGAAAGCTGTGAAATTTTTCATTGACATGCTTTTTGTTTTTTAGCCAGCCTTTGATGGTAACAGCTTTAGGATCATTGCCTCATTTTGACCAAAAAAATAATAATTAATAATTTGGCACATTTCTCTTTAAAAACTTGTTATCTGACATTAAGTAGTAGGAGAAAACTTCGGTATTTTTGGTACCATATCACCAAATTTTATAATTTTTGGGGGTTTTTTATAAAAAAAAATAAATTCGTAACTTTTGGGGTTATTTTATAATTTTTATGGTTTAATTTATAATTTTTAAATTATTTAAGATCGATTTTAACTCTATTAAGAAATGGGCTGCTAAAATTTTGCAGTGCGGGCTCCGACCTCTGCATTGGGCCCCCAATTTTAATGCTAAAGGGCAGTTACGTCACTAATGCAGCCGAGAAGAAGAAGTCAATTTAGCTTTGGAGATGGGCTGTGAAGCCCAATCAACTCTTGAAGCCCAGATTCATGACCTGACCCGGTATCCACATGCTCTCTCTCTCTCTCTCTTTCTCTCTCTCTAGTAGTCTCGACTCTCTCGAGTGTTCTTTCCGTCAATACCTTTCTCTTATTGCCGACAAAACCTCTCTCCACATTCTGCGTTCCTCACACTCGGCGCGCGTTAGAGCCTCCAAGAAGCTTAACTTCCACATCTTCTGTGCAGGTTAACCCTCTCAAAACCTTGTGTCTTCATCGCCTCTTCTCTCTCTGAACTTTAATTCCATCTGTACCACAGCTAGGTTTTGATTTCATGATTTCTTTTTCGTGATGTCAGAGCCATGAATATAGGATTCAGAAAATTTTAAGATTATCATGAAACCCTAGAAAGTAGAACTTGCGCATATAGATACAGGCAGGTAGCACTGGGCAATCTAGGGTTTCGGATCTTACATAAAAGCTTTTTTGTTTTTGTATAGTTGTATATATAGTTTTGAAATTCTGTGTACCATTACTCGAAGCTTAATAAGATTAGTACTTTATCTATTATGATTATTTACCTGGAACAGTGTGTGCATTAGGGACAGTATACTATTCTTGATGAAACTATTAGCTATTTTAGGTCCTCTGCAATTCTAATTCTTTACTTCATTGTAACTTTTTTCGGTACCAAAGAATGATCTTCTCCTCTTGGATATTTTCATTGATTCTTATGATGGTGTTACTGTTTTTACTTGCAACTTTGGGGCTTCATCTTCCAAAAATGCTGATTGTATTTGGTTGTCTTAAAATTGAATATTTGTGTTTGAGATACTCCTGGCTTATTGCCCTGGTGGCTGGTTATACCCGATTGCCTTTTTAATGAAGCTTTCGGTATTGACCTACTTGGTTTTACTGCCCCAACACCTACAGGAACCCGTTGAGGGAGCCCTATTAGGTAAGGGTGCGTTGATATGAGAAAGAGCAATGAGCTTACTTCCCTAAGAGCTAAAAGGGCAGTGTTGGGAAGATTTTTCAAATTTTCTTTCTCCGATGTCTTCTTCCTCCTAATAAACTTTTGATGGGATATTTTCCATCATTTTGAGTGTTTTATTTGTTATCAAGAGAACTACCACACAACTGACTGAATGCAGCTTGCAGACAGATTTGGGATCTGAAAGCTTGTTGAAGGAAAGTATGGCCAAGCATCATCCTGATTTGATTATGTGCCGAAAGCAGCCAGGAATTGCCATTGGACGGCTTTGTGAGAAATGTGATGGGAAGTGTGTGATTTGTGACTCCTATGTGCGCCCTTGCACGCTTGTGCGTGTTTGTGACGAATGCAACTATGGGTCCTTTCAGGGTCGTTGTGTGATATGTGGAGGAGTTGGGATTTCTGATGCCTACTACTGCAAGGAGTGTACGCAGCAGGAGAAAGATAGGGATGGGTGCCCCAAAATTGTCAATTTGGGTAGTGCCAAAACAGACTTGTTCTATGAACGAAAGAAATATGGTTTTAAGAAAAGATGATTCATATGTGGTATGCTTATTTCTTCTTCGATTTTCCATTATGTACTAGCCTGTATGAAGACCAGTTATTGAATACATTGGGAGATAAATTTAGGTATTTGTTTTGTATTTCTGTATGTTATCTGGTCTTTATATCCTTAACTTTATGGCTGAAGGTGTGGCAATTTTTTAAGATGTGTAGCCGAGCGGAATCTGGATTTATATTGCCGTCGCCAGGGTTATTTCTTCCGGACTTTAATTGATGCTATTTGTTTGATTTATAAAAATAATAGATAACCAATACACACGATTTAAATGATTGTGTATGCTGAATTCGGGTTTTTGTGCAATCATTTTGTGTCTTTTTGTTATTGTTGGATTTGTTGCTGTAAAATTTCTTTAATTTTTTTTTTCTGGAAGTTGAATTTCTGTCCTTCTTTTTTGCCCTATGAGCTTTTGTTATTAAATTATCTGATATATCATACGATTATATCCTCCATAGTGGTTCTCTCTTCAAACCATTTTCTTGTTTTATTTTGTTTCTCATCTACAACATGCTCTCTTTTTTTTGTTGCCCTGATCTCTGTCAGCCGTGGTTTAATGATGTGATTCTATGTCAAAGTTCATGATATATTATTTTTCCCATATATTAACTGGTTGGCATATCATTTAACAAAAAAAGCGCCTAGTTAGCATTATCATCAGTTGTAACTGTACTGACAAGAAATGAAAATATTGTTGTAGTGGCATGTCACATCAGGACACCATTTGGTCCGTTTCCTCATACTGTTGAGCAAAATAGGAGGGTGCACTAGCAAACTACACTTTTTTGTGGAAAAAAAGAACTACCTAGGGCTTTTCCTCCTCATGGTGCATACCAGATAACATTGTCCACAGTTTTGAGGTTTAAACTATTTTGGTAAGCCAACAATAAGCCTATTCTTCCTTCAATGTGGTGCAAGCACGCCTGAAATCTAATCGATGTGAATGGTCTGTTGGGTTTTCTTTGGTTCATTTGGATGAGGCAACATCTTTGGTTTGTGCATTGCTTTGCGTTAATATATCTCCTAGAATATTGAAAATTAGAGGCTTGGTGTCAAGGCAGTGCATCTCGACACCCAGGTTCCCAAATGTCACCAAGTACGAGCGTTGCCTGAAAGTTGGGAACTATAGTGGCTTTGCGGTTATGGTGTTGCTAAAGTTGTACTTAATGCATTGTGGTCATTGAATTGGAGGTGGATCATATCAATCTACTACTAATCTAAATCTTCGAATAAAATCCTAATAGCATTGCTCATAAATCACAAGGTCTCATACCAGTCTATTTATTTTTTGGGTAAGTAGTATAAACATCACAAACAGACGGAGAGAGTGATTATGATAACAATATAAACAAGTGGCAGATAGGTATTGACATTTCACTTGTAAGGATATATGGTTTAATAACCATAGAAATCACCAAGCTTCCTTTCAGTCGTACAGTGAAACTATCGTCTTAATGACCCTTATTTAACCATAAAAGTTGAAATTTAAACAAAAAAAGTGCAGAATTTACGGTAGTTTTTGATTTTCTCAATAAATTGATAAGAATGTAACCTCTCTATGCCATCAGTAACTCTTCTTCTTCACACACATGCAATAACATTCTTAAGGCTTTGAAACGACGAGAGTCTTGAATAGTAGACTTGATTTTTTCTTAAAATACCAATGCAATTATTCCAACCGGTAAAAAATAATGAGAAATAGAAGGAGCAAATTAGTGAAGGCTTGGGCTTTTCTGCACACTAGTCTTAGGAGGATTGTGGCCCTTGTTGGCTGACGCTCCACTGTAGTCGTCCAGATTCACTTTCAGATACCTTCCCTGCAGCTCCCACTCCACCACCTCCTCCCCTGTAATCCAAAATTCTATTCTTTTTATGATATCTTTTGCTATTGTATTCGATCATAATATAAATGCACATATATGTATGTATAGTTGTATACATAGTTTAAGGTCGTGGTATCGACTATTGACTCGGAGAACTTTGAAGCACATCAATTGTTGCACGGTATAGGGTCATACGATTAAAAAAAAAATGTTGAGCACAACGAGAGTTTCAAGTCATACTACGACGTAACAGAATTTTATCGACCGATTTGGTGGCAATAATTCGGCGACTTTTTATTAATTTGAAACACAACTTCAACAATTCAACTGAGTCGTGCAAAATTTAAGGTTTATACTTATTGTGTAATAGTATCGTCTCGAAAAATATAAAATCAAACTTGTATCGATATCAACCGATAGTTTGAAACACGATTGTATCCCCCCTTTCCATTTGTTTTCAGAATCCCCAATGAGTCCCTGGCAATTAAAGCTACGACACTGGGTCATCATCAATATGATCATGCACTGACTCTGGTGTTTCTTGGTCTACTGGTCATAACCCATTGAACCTCTCTCTTTCTCTCTCTCTCTCGTGCTATATATACACTAAACAGGTTCTTATAGTTTCATAGAGAAAGAAATGGTAGTTCTTGCGGAAGAGACCCCAATGAGTCCCTGGCATTTTAAAGCTACGACACTGGGTCATCATCAATATGATCATGCACCGACCCTGTGGTGTTTGTTGGCATTTTTTGGTCTACTGATCATAACCCATTGAACCTCTCTCTCTCCCTCTCGTTCTATGTATACACTAAACAGGTTCATATAGTTTCATAGATGAGTATGTGAGAAACTCCGTAGAAGAAACTGAGAAACATACATACCTGAAACAGAGAAAGAAATGGTAGTTCTTGCGGAAGAGATAACGGCAAAGGCAAATAAGAGACACCAACAGAGTCGAAGTCCAACCGCCATATTCTCTCTCCTGATTAACCAACCTGCACTGCAGAGAACTATCTGGTTGCTGGGAGGAAGATAGATAACAGGGCAGATGAAAGTCCGTATTTATATAGGTCAGAAACAGCTGGTTGGTTGGTGCGAGGAATATGGAAAAGTCGTCGGTTAACACTCTCAATGGCATGAACGTTTCTGTTTCAAATGTATCTTGGCCGTTCATTTTAGGTCAACGGGTTGCAGTCGTTACTTTGCCGGAAAAAGGAGAAAACATATCCTTTCAGGTCTACAATCGCAATCATGTATGATTTAAAATACTTGTTAGTTTTTGAATAAAGCAATTAGGACCTAAAAAATTAAGATAATTTGTTGACGTTACCGGCAATATGATTTCGTAGTAGTTTCAGACAAGTATATTGTGTCTTAGATTATTAAGCTCCCTAATCTTTCAACAAATAGTATTAGAGTCGATGACTAATAATTTTCGAAGAACTCTCGAATAAACAGTGTAACGTGCCAATATTAATGATTACTTTTAAGAAAAGTGATAGACTTTTGGTCTGGAAGACATAAAAATGCAACTCAGACAAAAGAGCAAGACATGAACCTTATCACAAAGGCACTTTATAGTTTGCGGTGTGGTAATGCGATAACTCAAAAAAAATGATAAAAGCTTGGTTCTTGGGATGTGGTGTTTGTGGAAAGTGGTAGATCAAATTCAAGAGAGAGCTAACACCAATGTAGTTCACACATGAGTGGGTGATTGTTGGTTTTTATACTTGTAAAAATCTCACATTGGATAAAAAAGAAATAAAAGTTTCTTATATATACTAGATGAACACGCCACCTGTAGGATTAAACTTTTAGGTGGGTATGAGTTTCGGACATATATATTGGGTCTTGGATCAATAGGCTCCTCGTCTCTCAACAATTGATATCAGAGCCGATGATCAATAATTTTAAGTGAACTCTCGAAGAAACGGAAAAAAAAAAAAAAAATGCTCCTCCCATCTATGCAATTATCAGACATGAATGGACATTATAACAGAAGGAATATTAGACCGACAGAGGGGAGAAAAAAAAATGCCACTACCTTTATTAGAAATACAAGGTCAGAATAATAATGCTAGGTAGGTAGATTAATTACTTATAATCCTTTTTTTTGTAACATTAGTTTAGTCCTCTGGATATGTACTGATATTTTTAGCTAATTATTCGAATTTGCATGTATTTTATTCTATTTCATAAATTTGAAAATATTAATATCAAACCCTATATAAATATATTTAATAAAATTGAGTTGAAATTTTCATGTAATTTGATATGATTTGAATGTGAGCTCAGTTATTCATATTCGATCGAGTTTTTGATTTTTATCCAATTCAGATATGAATTATAAAAATACAGTACATTGAATGATTGAAATAACTTTAAATCGAATGCAGATCAAATCCAATACGATATAAATCCAATTCTATTAACTAAGGTAAAGCAATGCCCCCTTGTGTTTCTTTAAATAAATTAACACTGACCAATACAAAGCTATGTCACATATTCCATGGCCGCAATCAAAACAGGTCGTACTAGCAACTATTTCTCCACCCAAATCGGCAAGCCAATCCAGCCACCACCGTCTGCACCACAACACCAACACCGTCACCACCCACTTTTAAGCAAAGATGAAAATTTTATTTTGATGTATTATTCCAGTTATTGAGAGAACAAAAATATTTCGAAAGTGTTTTAAAAAGAGAATGAAAATGGAGAAAAGAATTAAAAATTTTGTTTTTGAAAGAGTAGTCGAATATTGGTATTCAAGTACTCATGCCACTGCCAACCCTCAAGCACAGTCACAACTGCTTACAAACCACAGCTGGCAACTCACTGCCATACACACCTAGATCTTCACCAATTCATATACAGATACAAGTAAGGCCGATAATTGAGTCGAGGTTTACGAGTTCGAGTTGATCTTGTTGAAATCGTTTTTTTAAACGAATATAAAAAATTGTTCAAACTCTGTTCCTTTAAAAAATAAGTTAAACCCGAGTAATTCGATTATTTTACATTTAAACAAACCGATCCTTTTAAATTCGTTTTTCTAAATAAATTTAAAAAATTAAAATGAACTCGAATTGAGTCATATACAAATCGAATCAGAGTTGAGCTCAATAACCCGACTCGATTATTAGCCTTACACACCACCAAACCACCAACCCTAACCATCACCCCCCAGTTTATCGCACATTCACCCCCCGGGCACACCATCATTGGTTCCCCTGCCAATACCACCACCACTTACCACAAAAATAGCAGACCTATGTTGGGGCCTAGAGGACAATGAGACCCTGGTTTCAAAAAATAAAATTTCTGTTATGCATATTTTAAGTAATTTTTATTTGGGCACTGCTAAAGTAATAGAAATTTTCAATTCCCCTCGTCCTGAAGTTTCTGTCTATTTTAATTTCAATTGATATTTCCTATTTTATATCCCACTAACAAATTTTTTGTTTTCCTATTATATTGGATTTAGATCTCCTCTAATATATATTTTTTTAATTTCCTTTTCGACTTATTATCTACTATTAATGAGTGAGAGACACACTTTTATACAATATGTCGCATTTGAATATATGATAGATGATTTGTCAAGAAAAGAATTGAAAGAAAAAAAATGTGTTGGGAGAAATCTCTTCTGCTTTGGGAATCGACCGAGACAAAGATAGAGATAAGGGGACGAAACGGTCAGGGTGTTTCTAATCCCCTCTTCAACCCGATCAAAGACAGGTTATTCATATCGGAACTAGGGTTTTCATTATGGATAAATTCCTCATTGCCTAACCTCAAGAAGTTGTCAAGATTCGAACTCAAGATATCTGAATTTACAGTTCGTCGCTGTTACCTACGAGCCGATTTTGCAAATAGGTTGGAGAATTCAAGGATATGGCTCAAAACAGAAACTTATTTCTAAAGATTGGAGTTTGAAATTGAGAGAGATACTTGTAGCATTTGCCTCGCTTCCAATAATAAGATTTTCATTCAGTGTATCTGTGTGCCATACCTGAGTTTTTGTGGTGTACCATGCCCTTGAATTTGAAGGTAAATCATGTGTTAGATGGAATACTAAACAAGAATTGTGGTGTCATACCGACTGATTTACTCAAAAAAATGAACCTTCTTTTTAAATCAAATTAACTTAGACATAGAGATTTAATGGAATGGTTGACTCAGAGACGCCTGAAAAAAATTTCTCTGGCCTAGTTTGTATCATTGTTCCGAGAGATCATAATATGATCTTAATTTTTTGTTATTTCTAATTTGTTTTATTTAATATTAAGTAAGTATTACAGATTTTTCAATTCTATAAGTATAACACTATCTTAATCGATATCAGCAAACCACCAACTAGAAGACATTTGTCTCTTGAGTCTAACAAATTCTTAGTCATTCTCATGTTTGACATATACATTTATATTTTATTTATATTCCTAGATAATCAAAATATGCCTAGTTGGCCAAACACCTCTGAAATGTTGGAAAAAAAACATAGAAGATGGAGTAAGTATGGACCATGAGATATGGATCACTAAACCCTAATCCGGAGCCCCATACTGTAACTCAATGACCCACTTAATCATTCCACGACTGTCATAGCACTAATCTTCAAACCCAAAGACGAACCAATCCAAAATGGGCATGGTCTCAATACCTTTTTCTCTCTTGCACTCACTCACCGTCACCGACTATGCCAGATGTTGAACGAATCAAGCTGCCACCTGCTCCGTAGTAGGCGTCGCCACCGCTCTCTCCGCCCTCCAAACTTCTAATTCTGCCCACTCTCACAAGTTACAACTCATCGCATACACACAATTCCTCTTAAAACAATGATCTTCAAAATTCCACCATTTCTGCAAGGAATAAAATAGTGATATTCACAAAATGTCTTGGCTTAAAACCATGATCCAAATCGCTAATATCAAACAATCAACACTCAAACCATCGAAATCCATAGTTTCACCTTCACTAACCCAATTACTGCACTTTAACACATAGTCGGAGGCCGTTGCTGCCACTAGGCACGCTGGATTGGGGCCGACGAAGGGCGACGAGAAGCCGAGGGTGGTGGTTCTGGGCTCAGGGTGGGCTGGGTGCAGGCTCATAAAGGACATTGACACGAAGGTCTACGACGTCGTATGCGTGTCGCCAACGAATCACATGGTGTTCACTCCTCTGTTGGCTTCAACCTGCGTGGGCACTCTCGAATTTCGCTCCGTCGCCGAACCGATAGGGAGAATTCAACCGGCGGTTTCGAGGGAACCCGGTTCTTATTTCTTCCTCGGTAAATTTCATATAAAAGTTCTGTTTGGTTAGTGAGAAAATAAACACTTATTTTGTTGGTGTAGACAAAAAAGAAAAAACACAAAAATATTCACTTGGTACCACATGACGGCAATGTAGAATCATTTATGCTCCCAAAGCATGTTTAGTCGTTTGATTGATTTTTTTTTTTGATAAAAAATGTTTGTAATTGTGCGTGCAAGATCCTGCACAATATAAAAAATATTGGGAACAGATCTCTCCCCTGGTGAACTTTGAGTGAACCGGTTGAGTGGCCAAACACACTGCTTGAAACAGCCTATAAGGTACGGTGGCAACCTGGAACGGCAAAGGAAGATCCTAGGAAAGGAAGAACGATCCTGTACGTGTGAAAGGTTTTCCTGGAATAAAGAGGGACAAGTTAGAAGGGTGCCGGAGTGTGTTCCGGCGTATCCCCTCCGACGGTCTAGTCAGTCTTTGAATGAGAGAGAGGAAGAAGAAAACACTGAGAAAATCTGTATTGTAGTAGAGAGTTTGTGATTTCATACCCGCTTTGCCTTCTGGGAGGAGTATTTATACCTTAAAAGCTCATGATTGCTGTCAGTGTGGTCAGTAGGTGATCATCAGGCACAGGTAGCGTGTGTATTGATTTGATGAGGAATGTCTTCTCTAATTGACTGCTCGGGGTCCCGAGCAATCAATGCTGAGTCGTCGGGACGCCGACGGTACAATATGCTCCTTTCGGGAGGGATGCAATAAATGCTCTGTAATAGGAGCATTTATTGCCTTTCATATCCGAACCTTATCGCATTGAATGCGGTCTCGTCAACAGAAGGGTGCAATTAATTGTTTGCTTTCCCAAAGCGCGTGTCAGCAACAGCATGCGGTTTGTCTGTTTTTGATGTGATATCATATGGCACGCGTCCATCACGTATTGGCTATGACTTCTGTATTCCAGTATGTTCTGACATTACTTGTGTAAGACGAGGTCATGATGAATAGTCTAGACTGGCATAGGCTGATGATCCGTACGTCAATAGCTTTATCCTGGAGTAGAGGAAGCGTCCAGGACGGAGTAACTCTCGGCACCGAGGAAAGGCTCACCTCGGGGACCGAGAGTGGTATGTTTCTGAGGTACATGGGTGACCGAGGACACGTGTTGTTGTATAATACACCGAATGCATGATCCTATATGAGAGGTACCTCGGGGGGAGGACACTCGTTGCCGATGGTGCTTAAATCCGAGCAACACTGTTCCAACAAACCCGAGGATACGTGTCTTCATCATAGGGCTTTTTCAGAAGAGTCCCATCAACTGCCCCCCAGCCTTCGATCTTCTGACACCGAGGACACGCGTTGAAAGGAGACGAAGGGTTTCCCAACTGCCATCCGTCCTTCATTATGGCCTCGAGCCGCTTTCCCCGGCTTGGGATGTCGTGCGCATTAAATGCGCCGTTTCGGTTCTCCCACCCAATGATGAAAATTTCCCCCTATATAAAGGGGGTTCTTCTCTGGTTTCCATCGTTTTGCCATTTCGATCTTTTGTCCAGAGTACGCCTTTCTTGATCTTTCGCCGGAGTTCTTGTCTCTTCTGCCATCGTCGACTGCCCTTTCTCTCAAAATCACACAGCCAGCAAACCCATTGTTGATTTCCTGGACTTTCTGGTGGGAGTCGTTTTTTTCCTGAAAAACTACATTTTTGACGTTCGGGTGAGTTTCACAACCTCCTTTTTTATCGTCTTCCTAGCCTTTTTGTTTTCCGATTGAACGGTGGTGTCATCCGGTCGGCACGTCTTGATTTAAACCCTCGGGGAACTTCCTCGGGTTTTCAAGAGTAAATACCCTTTTCTTCCTTTTCTTTTAGAGATGCCTCGTCGTCGCCCTGCTCCCGAGAATCCACCGGCTGGTCCCTCGGGGTTAGGGAAATACAAGGTGAAAGGCGAGGAGCAGATCGATAGGTTTAGGGTCAAGTACGGCATTCCTCCGTGCGTAGACGTAGTGGATTTTGACCCATCGGTACACTCATCTATCCTCGGGGCCGAGGATGCCATGCCTTTCTATACCAAGGCTATCATAGAGGGTGGAATTAGGTTTCCTTTACCCCCCCTGCTTCTTCAGTTCCTGTCTCGCTTTCGCCTTTTCCCCGGGCAATGCTGCCTTAATGTATTTCGAATAATCATGGGGGTCTTAGAGCTCAATAGGCGCCTCGGGGTGAATATTGGGCTCAATGATCTTTTTTTCTGTTACTCCCTCCTTAGGGTCATGCCTCACCAACACTTCTACCTCAAAGCCAGGGACCCTTCCATGTACCTTGTAACCCATCTTCCTGACTCGGACAAGGGGTACAAGGACGACATCCTAATCTTCAAGGGATCTTGGCAGAGAGGTGTTGGTCCCGAGTACAATCACTTATTATGCCCTCTGGGATGGAGAACGACAAGTACGTCGGTTCCTTCGGGTTCTTTGTTTGTTCCTCGGGACTCCTCATGTTTATGATAATCTTTTTTGTTGTGCAGATATTCCTTCTCGGGAAACAGCTCCTCCTCCTCGGTCGCTGGTGAACTTTGCCGACCTGATCACTGTTTGGAGGTTCACGGGTGACAACGGGTTTGGCCGTGTTGCTCATATCTTGCTGAACTATACCCCCGGGTATAAGAAGTTTTCGCAGCTTCCGCAACCTTTTGAGCCTTCGCAGTGGTCTGAACTCTTTGACCAGGCGGCGAGGCTAGAGGTTGAGGAAGATTTGGAGGAAGACCCGGATCGGGCCTCAGAGGCAGAGGTAGAGGGAGTTGCTGAAGAGGTCGGGGTTAGAGAGGACGTTGCTCCTTCGGACGCCGAGGTGGGGACTCCAGGAGGTGACTTGTGGCCTGACTTTCAAATTCTTCAATCTTTGGACGCCGAGGACGCGCTTGAAGTCGCGATGTCAAATACTCCTCGAATCGACCTCGGGTTCTTGAGGCAGAGGCAGACCCTCGCAGCCGGGAGAGGTCGAGGAACGACCGGCGGCACCTCCTCAGCGGGGACCAGTTCTGCCCCATCATCAAGGGTTCCTGGTCGGGGTCAGGTGCGAGACCGGGACCCTCAGGTGGAGGAGGAAAGAAGGGTCAAGCATCGGCATGACGGTCTTGGCCGAGGATCCAGGGCACCTCCCGCTCAGCAACAAAGCGGGAGGGGTCGTGGATTACCGCCTGCTCCTCCGCAACAGCAGCTGCAGCAGCAGCAACAGCAGCCCCGACAGCAACAACAACAACAGCAGCAGACCCCTCCTCCCGTTCCGCCTCGGGTGGAGGCCGCGGAGTGGAATCCCCGAGCCACTGATCACATGAGCCGAGTGATCAGGGTCGACGATTCTATTCTGTCGGATCCTCATGTCGCTAATGCAGTGAGTGAGACACTGCACTTCGAGGCCGACATGGAGGCTCATAGGGGGCGATCAACCAACGTGTTGTTCCGCTCCATCATCCAGAACTCCCTGGTGGTGAGTTTATTTTTGCTTTGGTTTCTTCACTCTTGTTTTCCATTTTTGTGATTAACACTTCTTCGCTCCTTTGCAGGCTACCCAGCAGATCTCCGTCATAGCTGCTCGGTACCACGGGTCTAGGATGGACCTCCAGAGGGCCCGAGGTCAGAAGGAGGAGGCGGAAGCGGCCCTCGCCCGGCAATGGAGGATGTAGCTGCCCGGGATTCTACCCTGGCGGGGCAGGCTGCTCAAATAGAGCAACTCCTCAAGGACGCCGAATCGGCCAAGGTGGGCGCTGAAAAACTAAGTGCCGCACTTGCCGATGCTGAGAGGAGGATTACTGAGCAAACGCAGCGGCTTTCCGCTGCGGAGGAGAGGGCAGTGGGCTCCGAGGAAAGCTGTCTGGCCCTTACCCAGGAGCTAGACAGGATCAGGGCCGAGGAGCTGAACCGGAAGTCGGAGGAACAACTCCTGGAGGAGTTTGCCGATGACGTGTTCCCCGCTCTTGAGGAAAACAACAAAGAATTCTTCAAGAAAGGGTGGGACGAGGCACTCCAGGCTGCTGGAGTCCCACCAGACTCCCCTCTCTTCCAAGTGCACAAGTATGTGCCCTCGGCAGAGATGGCACAGGCAGAAGCACAGGTTGCTGCCGAGGATGAAGCCCCTACGCCGATGCAGACCTCGGCTGATGCTCCCGAGGCGGTGATAGTGGACTTGTCCGAGGACGCTCCGTCGGAACATGCTCCTGAACCTCAAGTTGCTCAAGCTGTTCCCGCTGCCGAAGTTCTTCTCTTGCCTGCTCCAGAAGCTTCTCAACCATTTATCGCTGACTCGCCCTCGACTGAAGTTCTGGAGGTGCCTGGAGCCCGATGAAGCTGCTTTTTTTTTTTTTTTTATGATTGTATCCCTTCTGCTTTCCTTTTGTAGCCTTCGGGGACGCAAAGCCCCTATTTTTGGAAATAACAAGTTTTTCTTTCCTTCTTCTGTGTACAGCAATGTTTTGCTTTTCTTTACTTCCTTGTAGAATAAATCATAAGTATTTTTGAACTGTCTTCGGGGCGTGTTGGCCCGTTCCGGAGGCAAGATCTTGTATCTACTCTGGGGACTGGAGTGCTTGTGTTTTGTTCCCAGGGCCATGTTCTTTATGAATGCTCGTTCCAGTTTTTGCTTCGGGGACAGGAGTCCTTGAACTCTGTCCCCAGGGCCGTACCCTTGTAGGAGGCTTGGTCCTGTATGTGCTTCGGGGACGAGAGTCCTTGAACTCTGTCCCCAGGGCCATACCCTTGCAGGAGGCTTGCTCCTGTATGTGCTTCGGGGACGAGAGTCCTTGAACTCTGTCCCCAGGGCCATACCCTTGTAGGAGGCTTGCTCCTGTATGTGCTTCGGGGACGAGAGTCCTTGAACTCTGTCCCCAGGGCCATACCCTTGCAGGAGGCTTGCTCCTGTATGTGCTTCGGGGACGAGGGTCCTTGAACTCTGTCCCCAGGGCCATACCCTTTGTCTTTTGTTTGGCAAGCTCTTGAGTGAGAGAGTACTTCAAAAGTAATACTTCTTTAAATTCATAACATTCCATGGTCGTATTACAAGTCTTCCA